AAAATATTTTCAATTCAAAAATTACTAGGAAATGAGAAGGGTCACGGCCCATAAAAGATTACGCAAAAGAAACATCTTAGAATATTCGGTATATTGGGAGCATAAACTATGTTTTGATTTCTATATCAGTGGCTAACGTGTCAAATATTGAATTTTGTTTTTATTCAGGCAAACTATTCTTCGAGCGGTTCTTTCAGGTATCCCCAGAATCTCAGCAGTTGTATTCGCACACTCGCACAAAGATCAATATTCATTTAGTGACCCAGTTTGAAATATATGCTTGTAGACATGCATTACCATAACTTTATCGGTTACGGACATTGCAGGGCGTGGTGTTTTTTCTGTGTCCATAGTGCTTATGTTCACACGAACGCAAGCAACCACAAACGTTGCAACAGAGTAAAACCAAAACTCAAAAAAGAATAACACAACACGAAAACTCAATAATTAAAAACAAAAACTCAACAACATGACGTATACGCAGCACGGTACACATTCGATAACGACAGCCGCCAGAAACCGAATGAAGAAAGAAAATCGCGGTGATCCACTGGTACAGATGCAACCCGACAACCCGACCCGTTATCAATACCTGTCGATCAAAAACTTACTTTTCATTTTGCATTTCATTGTTATTAACACTATTTAGTAATGAACCAATTTATTATTTCAATTTTATTATTCTTAATAAAAAATATACTTAATTTAATAAAGTATTAAAGTAACAGTATCACAACAATAAATTATTCACATTCGTGTTTAAAAGTATTTTTAATACAGTTGCTCAAAACGTGGTATTTTTCGCACTACAAATCGTGCGGAAAGTTGGATTTCTCGCACTAGTGCTTTTTACTTTTCCAGTTTTTTTTAATTTACTGTTGTTTTAAGTCTTAAACATAGAACTAAAGAGATTGTATATTTATTTCATATTTATGTGCTTTGTGACGTAAGTCATTCGTCATTAAAAGTTATATTTATTTGCAAATACTATATAATGAACGTATCGAGTGGAGGTCTCTGCCTACCCCTGAATGGGTGACAGGCGATATTTTTATGTATACATTTGTTTTATGTATTACAGATAAATTGTATCTCACTACCGTGCACGGGTTCCCAAAGAAGTTTAAACAAAAGTACCAGGACTTCATAATAAGAAAAGTGGTTACAGACCGATATTACAGAAAATAAACAAAAACAGCACGTTAGAACTATATTTCCATAGACTTTTAAATAATGGTTGGAGTGGTTGTATTTCATTATTTTAATTTACTAGCTGAAAATGAGTTTTTTTTAAATACTGTTTTATTTTACTTTCAATGTAGTTTTTTCGCAAATGTATTAAAAAACGTCGTTTGATACACGTGCGGATTTGTCATTTTCACTTGTCTCGAGTCTTGACCCTCGCCTCTGGCTCGGGCCAAGATGCCTCGAGACTCGTGAATAATGACTAACTTTCCGCACTTGTATCAAAAATAACTATTGTGTTTACAAGCTGGATTTTTCGCACTAGTGCTTTTTATTTTTCCAATTTCTTTTTAATTTACTGTTGTTTCAAGTCTTAAACATAGAACTAAAGGGGTTGTATATCTATTTAGTATTTATGTGCTTTGTGACGTAAGTCATTCGTCATTACAACTTATATTTACTTATACACATCTTATTTGTTTAAATTGCATAGCGTTGCTGCGCGTGCCAAACCGCGGAAGAGCAATTTGTAAATACCGCGTAACAGCAAAAGGTACAAAATTGAAATATGGCGCCAACAGATCCTTAACGCCAATTCGCTTAAGCTAGATCTCACAGATTAGAATTAGCCTCTAAGGGTCGTATTCTAGAACTCTACTCAATGCTCAAGTCAGGATTTGAGTATGGTTTAAAGCACTCGAAATCATACTCAAGTCCCTGCCATTAGGGTCGTATTTCCAGTGCTTGTGTTTCCAGTGCAATCCTGACTTGAGCATTGAGTAGAGTTCTAGAATACGACTCTATGGGTCGTATTCTAGAACTCTACTCAATGCTCAATTCATGATTTGATTATGGTTTAAAGCACTCGAAATCATACTCAAGTCCCTGCCATTAGGGTCGTATTTCCAGTGCTTGTGTTGCCAGTGCAATCCTGACTTGAGCATTGAATAGAGTTCTAGAATACGACCCTAAGAAACCTCATTTTTGGCATCGAAACAATACCGGGAAACAGTAGCATTGCTGAAATTGGCCTCAAGTCCGTGTATTTACCAAATTAATGAAGAAGTTATAACACGATCCCTGCCCGAAACGTACGACTAGGAGAACTAAGAGATAAAAATCATCAAGACGAAGTAGTGTTAAAATTCATTATTTGAAAGTTAATGATAAAAAGGAAAATAAATGGAGACAGTCGGGTATCGGTGTGAATATATCACGAAAAGTCGGAGTCAGCGCAACTGAACCCTTCGATCACACTAGTTCTATTGAGTCGTTCTATTGTAGAACTACTGGGACTTTTCCCCATTAGTTCTATTGTAATAAGTAATAGAACTAGTGGGAAAAATGGTTTCCCAGTAGTTATATTGACTTAGTTCTATTTTTATCCCGAAAATAATTTTATCCTTAATGTACTGTTGAAGAATATATATAACTTATACGTATAATATTTAACGTAAACTTGACAAATGAATATAAAAAGAATTAAAAAATTATCAAACATTGTAAACTTGCCAATTTAAATTTAAAAAATTCTAAATTTGCAAAATAAAATTCAAAATAATAAAACAAATGAACAAAATTTGTAAACTTGACAAATAAAAAAAAATATATAAATCGAAAATTGTAAACTTGACAAAGTAAAATTGAAAATTATACAAAAAAATAATCAAACATTGTAAACTTGACTTTTTATTTTAATTTGTCAATTTACAAATTTTGATAATTTTTTAAAATAACTTTTTTTTTGTCAAGTTTACAGTATTTGATAATTTTTTATCATTTTTTTATTTTAATTTGTCAAGTTTACAATGTTTGATTGTTATTTAATTATATATTATTATATTATTTTGTTACAATTTTTGATTATTTGATAATTTTTTAATTTCTTTTTGTAAAGTTTACAATTGTTGACTTTTTATCGAGTTCTTAGGTTTTCGCGATTGTTACACATAGGAAATGAAACTATTTTTCCGGATTTCCGGATTTCCGGAAATCGCGTAATATTAGACATAACTGGTTGATGACTGTACCATCTCAGTCAACCGTGACCATGGGACCTGTAAAGGGCCCGAAACGTTGGTTTGTTTGATAAAACAAATATACGCGATTTAAATCCGGAAAAATAGTTTAATTTCCTATTTTTTATTATTTTAATTTGTCAAGCTTACAATTTTCCATTTATATTTTTTTTATTTGTCATGTTTACAATTTTTTAAATTTAAATTGGCAAGTTTACAATGTTTGATAATTTTTTAATTCTTTTTATATTAATTTGTCAAGTTTACGTTAAACATTATATGTATAAGTTAGGTATATATATTCTTCAACCGTACATTAAGGATAAAATCGTTTTCGGGATAAAAATAGAACTAAGTCAATATAACTACTGGGAAGTCATTTCTCCCACTAGTTCTATTACTTATTACAATAGAACTAATGGGAAAAAAGTCCCAGTAGTTCTATAATAGAACTACTCAATAAAACTAGTGGGAACGAAGGTACTGTCAGACTATTAAAAATTCTGTTTCGATTTATGCTACATAAAAAGGTGGTGCGATATTTTGCTTCGTTCAGATATCGCACTGCTATTACAATAGTGTTGTAACTCAACACTATTGTAATGTGAAATTCAACATTATATTATAGCCGAAAGCAAAAAATTATTCACTACCCGTCAATAAAACCGCCGTCAGAATATTGTACAAACAAACAAAAGATATCAACTTAAACTGAGACATATTTTTTGTGAGCTAGTGAGCTCAAGTCTTTGCAATTAGGGTCGTATTTCCCGTGCTTGAAATTATACTCAAGTCCTGACTTGAGCCTTGAGTAGACTTCTGGAATACGAACCTACGAATTAAGTTCTTTTTTATAACATCAAGTGACGGGACGAACAAGTCGTGCGCCTGATGGTAAGCTCCACGCCTGTCCATAACAGTTACAGTGCCACTCAGAGTTTTAAATTGTAAAGATCTGAGGGGCACTGCCACTGCGCCCGTCACCCTGAGACGTAAGTTGGCAAGACCTATGTGCCAGTAATTTCACCAGGACCCTTACCCTTCAAAACCGGAATACAGTAATGCTGACATTACTGCTTGGTGGCAGTACTACCCTGGAAGAACTCTTTCACAAGGAGCTCTACTGCTACTAAAAAGTATTCGGGTTGGCGAGGCGGGTATCGAACCAACCGAACCGAGTTAGCTCGAGGTCATTAACCTATACGAGGTACCCTCTTTTCAACAAAAAAACAATTATCAAAATCGGATCACAAATGCCGAAATGACGAATTGAGAACATCCTCCTTTTTTGAAGTCGGTTTTAAGAAGTACCTAGCTCGAGTTGACTCGTTGAAGTAGCCAATGGATATGATTAAGTACTCAAACAAAATTTAAATTAAGTTTACGTCGTCCATTGACTTACATGACGTCGTCGCTGTAATTTTTAAGGAACACTGACCAAAAACTGTCATATTGTTCATGTTTTATAAAAATATTTTAATTATAACGAGACAACACAAATTACTTTTTTCTTAAAATGTTGTCTAATCCATGACCTATGTATAGTCCCATTTGTTCTCTGCTTAGAGGACGGAAATAAAAATTTTATTTATGCGTTCATAAGAATAGGACCACAGACACTGTGGGTAGGACTATTATAATAATATTGTTTAATTTTTAAAGGGTTCTGTATAAAATGTATTAGTCTGTGCATTTTTTCCAAATCCTAATTAATATATACATTTTTTAATAATTGTGTTACAATGGTATTAAACTTAAATAAATTTAGTAGATATTTAATTAATTTTATTAAAAAAGAACAATTTAAATCAAACTTAACTTCACATAAGGTAGGAAAGAATTACAAATAAAAAATATGATTGCATTGACATAAAGAAAGAATTATATTATTAGGTACAAGTGGTTACATTTCAAAACAAGAAATAAGACGTTATACAAAAACAAGTAACAACGGCATATTATCAAAATAATCAATGATACTGCAATTTAGGATTTACAAGACCCTTCACAGAGTTGGTGAAATATGATGTGTATCTTTCGGGGCTGTAGCCATGAATTTTAACCTGGTGAGGTCTGTATGAACCGGACTCGGAGACGAGGCCGCGGTCGAAGAGGGGATATATTGTAGATCTTTTCTTTCTTGGCGATTCTTGCATTTGCTGGCTTGGGTACGGGTCTACGTACCGCCGGCTGTTAATATCGCTGCCATCCGCTGTCGGGAATATCGGTCGCTATATTAATAAAATTAAAGATTAAACCAATTTGTGTTAAGGACACTTAATCCAATTTGGTGCAATGTAATAACTACTCAAATTGTGCATTCTAATTTTTAATATTTTAAATTAACTACTCTTCTTTGGGTTATGACACAAAATAAACTATATTAGCTCAGTCATGGTGCAGGTATTTGGCATTATTTCTAAAATTGCTGCGTTTTCTTATAAGCATTCATCAGTGAGGTTGCTCTACTTTTGTGCACCATCATTTAAAGAAAACAAGCCAACGTATCTAATACGTGTCTAAATAGAAATGCAATATATGAAATTAAGATTTCTACAAGATTTTGTACAAATTCTATTGAATAAGTCAGTTAAGTAAGTTTTTGGCCTGCTGGCTTCAAACCTATCTTAACTACATGCACTACCAGTCGTCCTGAAGAAATAAGAATTATAATATTTATTTCATGAAGATATTTATTTCACGGAAGCTATAAATCTGACTCAGTTGAAACATACCCAAACGAACCCGCCACGCCCGTACCATTGTCTTAAATTATGCAAAACAATTCTATGTACACATCAAATCAACATTCCTGTTCTTGGATTCATTCGCAAAGTGTCAATGAATATATTTAATTTTATTATCTATCTAAAAAGTATTTCTCATTCATACATACATCGCACTTTTTTCCAGTGAGATTAAGAGGAACTGCTTGATAAAATTGCTACTCTATAGAGTTGACTAAATCTTTGAATACTTGCCTGCCCCACGGCTGTTAAATATCCCAGGAGCAGGCTGTCCTTGAGGTTCGCCACCGACCGTGTTTTGTTGTATGGCTCCCATGCCTACTACAGCTGGATTAGGCTCGTTTTGTTGCCCTTTCCAGGGTCTGGAATTATAAAGGATGGTTATAAAATTTCATACAGATAAAGATCATACTTTTCAGTCAGGATTGGAATAATCGCTATGCTTGACAAAGACGTCTATAGTCTCCCATTCCTACTTATAGTTTTCGGTCTACAACGCTCACCAAAAAGTCCTTAAATAAGTTTTACAGCAGGATTAAGAAAATCAACTTTTTTCTATGAAAACGTATATCGTACTTATCAGGGAACAATTCTCCTGGTTGACCTCTAGTTTGCACAATCCTTTCACCATTAACTTCTACTACACATCGTAGTCTAGCACAGCATGTTGGGAATTCTGAAAAATAGTTTAAAGATGCGATATAATCAAATATATATTAACTAAAAATAACGTATAACTCACGCATTTAAGTCGATTCGGAATATCATGATTAAGGACTACGAATTGGTTCGAAACATGTCGAGCAAAAATTCGACTTAAATACGTGAGTTATCCGTTATTTTTAGTTAATATGTCTGAGTCTCACGGTGGTTTTCTATTTAAAACAATCAAATACGTTTTTCGCGCATTCCCTACATTTGAATATGGTAGATATAGTGATTGTAGTAATGATTTGATTATACACAAAAGTAATTATAAATCTTCAGCACTTTACTGTATTTGTATGACTTTGGCTACAGTCTATGCCACCTTCGACAACGACGTATAGTTCAATTTCAAATGGGGAATTTCGAATTTACTACGCCGATTATATTTTTGGCTGAGATACAGCGTGCCGCACATACAACCGGTAAATCTAGTAATGGCGACTTATTTGATCTGTTTTAAAAACGATCTTTTTTTGCGATCTCTGTGTCGATTGGATATAATGATAATGAAACATGTTCAGTTTAGTTCTTTGAATAAGGATAGATAAACACACACCATTATTCCATTTGTAAGATAAAAGCAATCCTTACCAACATTTTCATCTTCAATGTACTCGTGACATTCTAAAGCATTTTCAGGAATCTTCGGTTTCCTACATCTGTAATATTATAAGTGTTAGTATAGGGGTACCATCTCGTCATCGTCTTATCTGTCGTAATTTTTTCAGATCATCTTAAGTTTGGTTTACATCTTGAGCTGTAGGCTATTAGTAGAGAAATGCTTTTTTTCAAAGCTGAGTAACATCGTACATTTTACACAGTGGTACCTAACACCAAAAATGTTAGATACTGTATTAACGAGAAGAAGGACTATATAATTGGAGAGCAAAATGCTCCACGAGTGATTTTTTTAATAATTTGACAGGGAGCTATATGTGGGAATCAAAATTTGTGAAAAAATGAGTGTTCTATATAATATCTAATACACAAATTTTTATTTTTTTATTTATTTCATAGTCACAACAAATTCTATCAGATAAATAGTTAGTTATATACTGAAACCTTTGAGGGGTTTATAACGTGTCGCATCTAACAAGTGAAAATTAAATAGTTAAAGTCTTCACGAAGTAAAACTTAAGTTAACATTAACGATCTATCCTTTGTATGTATATATTGATATATGTATTCTTTATTGTACAAAGAAAAGACACATTGATCTATCCTTCCAGTATCGCCATCAACAGAATGATCATAACTCATAAGTATTTGTATCTTACCCAACCGCAGCAATGAAGTATTTTCCATCGCGAATTTCACACCTATATCTATGGCAAGTGTAGTGATCCGACCACTCCTGCCATGGTTGATAACCTTTTCTTGAGTATTTGTCAACGCATGCTTGATCTAAGAACAGTAACAACTAGTACGAATCACTATATAGAGGAGCCAAATCAGATATTACCTCCGAAACACTATGAAAATGTTGAGTTATTCAAAAAGAAATGGGAAGAGGTAATAAATTTGTCTTTTGCGTTCTTGAGAAACCTTTTGCAATGTATGTCTGTCACTCAATTTATGTTGTAGAATTGTATGGTTTAAGTAAAAATGATAAATTATGAAAAAAAATAGAAAATTATGAAAATAATTTTTTAAAGTTTAAGAGGCGATATAATTTAATTAGGTATATAGGTAATAATAGTAACATAAACTTACAACTGACGTCTTCGGCAAAAATGGCAGGCAGCACTAGATACACCAAAAACAGCAGCGCACCGAACTGCATTTTCGCAACGCAGATAGGACCTGCAGCGTTTACACATTCATAAAAAAATAACAAGTGTAGATTTCCAACAATTCTGCCGGAACCTAAAATCGCAACTGGCGAAGCCTCTCATAATACTCGGTTGAAATACACTTTCAGTTGTATAATTATTTGGAAAACACTTGGTAGATGATATTTTAGGACGGACAAAAAGGTAAAATATTATGCGGAAGACAATGAAAAACTTCAACAAACTATGGCTTCTGTTTTGAACTAATGCAAACATTAAACGTAATAGGAAATCATTTGGCTCTACTGTTAGCTTCAAGATGTTGCTGTGAGTACGTTTTAGATTATATTGTTTGCAATTGCATTTACAAAAAATAAATCCAATTTAAAATAAAAAGCGTTAATGATGTATCATTATTTAGCTGTGGGTATTATTTATTGGTGACTTTAATATAATTTTAAAGAAAAAATAAAAACTCAAACTTAAACAAACGCATAAAAAGATGTATGGAAGATTTTTTCAAATTAAAATTTACTTAGGTAAATACTTGTTAGGTGATACTTGAGTAAGAATAATCGATATGTTGATACTCACCCATTTTAAAAAGAATTATATTAAAAACTATCAATTTCAAACACCGAAGTCGAAAATATTGGCGTTCCTGTAACTGAACTCAAAGTGATTGAAGGTGAAATACAAAAGTGCATTGTATTTGATCTGTGTATTTACGAGAAATCACCTATTGTCTTGAACCTCTTGTTACTAATACAGTTTTTTAAATAAAGGCGGAGTAACGCAAACAACTGTTTATTATGTGCCATTTACTGAGCACGCAGTGGCATTAACCTGAGGCAATACCTTAAGAAAATAAATAAAATTCTTACAATTTCTTTTCGGATATCATGATACTTCAATTTTTGAAGCAAACTTTTCCTAGCAATTTCTATTTTATTACGTCTACTCCCTAGCTAAACGATTTAAGAAAATCATATTTGAAAATACAAAACGACTGTAATAATTGACATCGAATTGTAAAAACGTTCCTTAAATATAATGTGGATTTAACTATATACTGTTCTTTACTTTATCTATGTTATAATTTGAGACATAATGCAGCTTTCAATTACATAAACGTTAGTGCTTTAATCGTGTGTTTAATGAAAAATGTTATTGATTATTTTAAACGGAACCCTGAAATAATTCTGTTGGCCGTTTCCAATTTGAACGTATCCATAACTTGTGCGTGCGACCGCGCGATGCGTCAAAATAAGCTGTCAAAATTGCTACATCAAAATTGTTTCTGTATTCAGTGTACAATAAAAATATTAATAATCGTGTATTTCTCTGTTTTGTGATATAATACAATACAAAATATTATAATTTACGTTTAGACAAATGAGGTAAGCTTAAAAATGCCTCGTAACTATGTTTTCTTAAAAAGTTCTAATCAGTTATAAAAAGGGGGTGTGTATTGTGCAAAATAAGCGATTTTTGTAACATATTCTTACTTTTTTGCCATTACAAAGTGTTGAATAACTACATTTTATGACCCTGTACTGATTTTTTGGAATGTAAGGTGGATAAATACATTTTAAAATTTTTGTTTCTAACTACCTTCATATTATTTATAGCATTTCGAAACAATTCTAAGTTTACAATTTCGCAAAACCTTGAGCATTATTACCGCAGTAAGTACATCTGCATTATCAAGTATTAACTGTATTGTATTGAAAGTACCAATTAGTAGATGGATTTCTAACAGGGCATTTTACTGATATTTAAGTTGGATGCCATTTTAAATTGTATTTTTTAAATCATTTGAACTTTGATAAAATCATATCCAATTAGTATTATAAAAAATTACAAATAAAGTAAATATTTAATTTTATTATTTTTAACAATAAGGTAAGTGGGAAAATGGTGTTAGTTTGACTTATTTTACTTCAAACATTTATATTATTAATTGTTTTATAATTTAGTTTAAAAAAAACATACATGTTAACACTGGATGAGGATGTCCCAGGTTTGATTCCCAGGAGGACCACTTTAGGAAGTGACATTTTCTAAATTGATAGTGCAAGAAATTTTTTAGTTTGAAACCAGGGCCCAAGTCTGTTAATTTAAGGCCCCTAACAGTTCAACGCGTAAAACTTACTTGGATATCCTCGACTGACTAAAATGTATTATCCATGCAATTAAGGCATTTATTTCCACACACATAAAATACACAATAAGAGGAAACAAGATCATCTACAGAATATATATATAAACCAATGATTTGTGTGTGGGGGACAGTCTCAGCATTCACCGAGCAACTTCACTCAGCACTGGTTTCCAGCCTGCCCCGACTTTAGTAAATTTCATTTTTTCATTTTGGGCCTGTTCTGTTAACTTAGACAACTAGGTAATCTATTACAATATTAACTATTAAAATAAAAATTAAAAAAAAATAAACATCTCAAAAACGTACCATTGCATGATATTAAATAAAAATCTGAATTATTAAAAATAAAAATTAAAAATTAACATTTTACTCATACCAAACCGAACCAATAATTTTCTGTGAAATTGTACATCTGAATAAAAGATTTAAAATTAGTGAATATGTGTAGACATATTTGTGGCAATAGTGCCACAAAAAGACAAGTCACCACACTTTCTGTTTGGCCAGCATTACTGTTTTCAGTTTATGTTTAACTATTATGGACTGTCTGTTACATAATGGTGGTGGTTGATTATTCCAAATCTTCAAGGCAACATATTTAAAACAGCCTCTGAACCCCATTGTTTTGTGCTTAGGGATTGCCAAAACATTTGCAGTTCTACTACATACATTCTTTTGTTGAATGTCTTTAATCCATGTAAGTTTATTGAATAGGTTTTTAGTTTGTTTTTTGTTACAATATTGTGTATAAAGCAGGTAAGATGTATTTGTCTTTTGACATACATTTTTAACATATTTTTTTGCTGAGATATGGAATGACATGTGCTCGCCTAGGGATAGATTGACAGAAATGAGTGGCCATTTTGGACGCGCTGGATCGTCTTTCATGTTTTGTTATATAAACAGGGGCCTTAGACTGTATCACAGTAAGTAAATCCATGACTTCGTCCATTTACGAACAATGCACACTGCACTGTTGTTAAGTCCCTAACGGGTTTACAATCCCCCATATAAAGACCAAAATCAACCCTGTAAGTCTACGGAAATTGTGTGAAACAGTGTTGATTATGTTTTTGACTCTCACATTATATACAGGGTTGTTTAAAAATACTACGTTGCAGGGCTAGATTACTAACGTCATAAACAACACCTTTTGTTCCGTGACTGAAGAAAGTCTTTTATAGGATGTGACAAATTACATGTTCTATAAAAGACTACTCGGCTCACAAGTTTATAAAAATCAAGGCTTTGGTGTACGAATTAAACCAAAATATTTGATATTGAAGTAGTATGTGGTTGTAACTCTGTACGCATGCATAGAATTTTGGTTGAAGTCAATTTGCCACTCCAGGTGGTGTCATGGACTGTGAAATCATCTTGAAGAGTTTGTTCAAAAGCTAAGATCTAAAATCAAAATCAAAATAATCTTTATGTCATTGGTAAGCATTATTACCAGATATCGGAATAGGTAGAGTTTTTTTACCTAAACTTCGAGGAATATAGACAGAAAATGGAGACTGCCTTACGACAATATTTTTTAGGTCCCAGGACCTTTTCGGAATTGGGGAAATTACTTAAGAACATTAAAAATTTACGTAATTGGGGACAAGCAGGTACATTATATTTATCTTAGCTTTGCGACGCACAGCGGGTCGGATCTGCGATATTGCGAATATTGGATTTTTTTTTACATTGCCTCTCTAAAATAAAATCCAATCGTGAGATCCTATTGTCCTAATTAAATATTGTCATATCACATGCCGTAAATATAATAGTTTAGTAGGAAAAAATAAAATGTGTATTTTTTGTATGGGACCATACCTTTAGTGCCCCATTTTTCAAACATTCGAGATCGAGACTAACTCCATTAGCTAAACGGGTTACTACTACGGATTTTTGTCATCCAAGTACACAGAAGTTGTGTAGTAACATTTAGTATAAAGTTTTTGTTTCACTATAGTTTTAAACCTCGTGAATGACAAATTTTGTATATCAAACGGAATCTTGTTATAGAAGCGTATACATTGCCCCTTAAATGATTTTGTGACTTTGTGAAGACGACTATCAAGAACAGCTAGTTTTTTTTATTCCTCGCATTAATGTTATGTCTGTAACTATTTTTCATAAAGATTTTACTATATCTCTTAACATAATTCATTTTCGTAAATGTACTGTGACGCTAGTGTAAGAATGTTAATTTCCTTAAACTCCTCTCTCAAAGATACTCTGGGGCCCAGATTGTCAATTGCCCTCCGCACCCAACATATTACCCCAAAGCAAAATGCCATATTGTTATTAGACTGTGAAAGTAGCTGAAGTAAACCAATCGAGCGGTTTTGACGTCTGAAAGTAAGATTAATTGACCTACTCATCATTCATTCCATTGGTAAAATTTTTACACTTGAAAACGTCATTTTTTAAGCTACTGCTCGTTCACTACGCTGACCTCCCTGAGAAGAACGAACAAGAAACTCTAGGGATTGCCACAGTCATGTTACCAGTCTCCTTAAATTTTTCTCTGAGAGAAACCCGAGAATCTAAACGATACACAGAACGAATCGCTCGTTTTTGCAACACAAATATGGTTTGTATATCTGCCGCTTTACCCCACATGAGAATCCCGTAGAACGTTATACTATGGAAGTAACTAAAGTAAACTAGTCTAGCAGTAGCAACATCGGTACGTTCACGTATTCTACGGACTGCGTATGCAGCAGAGCTTAATCAGCTGGCCAAGGAAGATATATGTGGAAACCGTTGGATTTTACTATCTAACGTCACTCCCAAAAAGACAGCTTTATTAACGAGGTGTAACTTTTCTCTATTTATTTCTGTGATTGGGCTAGTCGATTTTACTTTAGGTAATTCAAATTGAATAATAAAATATAAAAAATAATTGAATAAAAATTTAATAATAAAGAAAATACATTTGTCTTGTTGGCAT